GCCGGGGGGGGGGCTTCACTGCCCTTTGATCTCTTGGAGAGGGCACCCCAGAAGTGACAGCCGCCCAAAGGGTCTCTCAGAGGCTGGCAACCACCCTAAGCGAGAAATGCTGCCTCGGTGGTGGGAGTGACATATGGGGGGGGGAGTCAGAGGGGCTGAAGAGCTTCAGAAGGGGGGGCTCGCGTTTTATAAGCATCTCAAAAGAGCCCGGTTGCAACTCGGCCTGACCAAAGGGGGGGGAGTTATTGAGCAGGGGGACAACATTTCCCAAAATTCCTCCAGCCAGTATAGCAGTGGGGACTCTGGGTGTTGTAGTCCCAAAGGTCCTTCATGTTGCGCGTGCGGGTCTTGTGATTCGGTTGCCTACCCCTTGTTGACCAGCAGCTTTTCCCCCAGGCTCCGGCCTCACCCCTTCTGCTGGGCTTTCAAAGTCCGTGAACTTAGTTCCAGCCTGTCAGAAGCATATTTGGGGTGGAGTAGGGGGTGGGCTGTTAAACAGCCAAGGGGCCAAGGAGGGGACTTGGAGTCGCCCCTGGAGATTCGGGGGGGGGGGTTTCTTGTCAGGCTGCCCTTCTCCCCTCCCTGACCCACTGACTCCGCAATATAAGTGTTTGGTTTGGTTTAGTTTGTGGTTTTGTTTTTGTTTTGTTTTTTGTTTTTTTTGCAAAGGGAAAAAAGCCATCGTGCTGGCTGGCAGAGTTACAGTCCGAAGAAGTCATCCAGGTCCTGATTCGCGTAGCAGGCCCCAAAGGATTCTGGGAGTTCTCCTCCTAACACCACCCGTTTCAAAAGCTTTGGCCCTACCCCAGCCCTCACTCCTCTTTTCCAGTCCAGACTTCCTCTCAGCAGCAACCCCACCAGCCTTGGCATCTTCTGTGCCCGGCAGACCCTGCCTGAAGGCTGGCAGGAGGGGGCGCTTATTAGTTACTTATTCGTTTAAAACATGTGTATGCTGCCTTTTCCCTAAAGGATTCAAGGCCCCTGACAGTATCTTCTCCTTCTTCCTCTGCTATTTGTTTGTTTGTTTGTTTCTGCAGACAGCTCTCAGTGCATTTTTCCAAGAAGCCAGCATTCCTTATAGTCACCCTCACCATCAGATGGTAAGCTCAACCCTCCTTTTCTGGAGCTGAAATGTTGTGGGGGGGGGGTGGAGGGGGGGAGAGGAATTTTCCAGGCAGCTAGAAAGTGAGTTTTGAGGGCAGGGGAAAGAGTGTGCTTACCTGCCACCTTTTGTCTGCAAAAGAGGTGGACGTGGCCAGGGAGGGGAAGGGTGTAGCCTGCCCAGACGTGGCAGCTGGAGTATTCTGGGGCGAGCCATCCAAACAGTTACTTTTCTACCACTGAGCACCCTCGTCGTGGTTGAAGCCAGCACCCCAAAACCTCAGCTTGCCCCATGGGAAAGAACTGGGGACTCAGAAGATTCTGACATGTACGCCCTGTAGCTTTTAACACGGTGTCTGAAGTCATCCCACAGAAGGGACGGGGAGACAGAGATCCCGGTCTGCCTCACAGGCCACTCAGGAAACTGAGCCAGCTTTTGAACCCAAGTCCAAAACGAACAGGACAAAACGTTGCTGTGGCCACCCCACCCCCACCCCCAGGGGCAGCATTAAAACTCTGTGGTCAGTGCCCAGCCCCAATGCACGCCTCCAGCTTCCCACCCGCCCAAAGGAAGTTGTTCCTGGTGGGCCCCCCCCCCAATGCCCAGAAGCCTCTCTTAAGCAGAGCAGGCCTCGGTCCATCCGTCAGGGTTGTGAACCACGTCTGCCAATGGAAAACCCTTGTAAATGGCAATCCCAGCAGCTTTTCCCCAATTTTCTAGAAAGCTCCTCTCCTCTTCCCAAGACGCAGCAAGGAAGAGTTTAATTTGCCCGCTTTCCAAGAACTATTGAGAGGCAAATGTCACAGACAGGAGAGGAGAGGCAGTCAGGAAGCGAAAGGGCCCTTCGTGACCCCTCCCAAAAGCTCTCGGAAGCCCCTGCTTCCCTCTCCTCTCTTGATCTCTACTTCTTCTGTTTCCTTCTGTCTCTTTTGTTCTCACTGTGGGGGGCTGGATCATTGGCGACCGCCCCACCGCCACCCCCTCTCGGAGGCTTCCTTGTATCATTCCTTCTTCTGGAGTCTGAGGTGGCAAGCCTGGCCTGGCAGCAGCCCAGGACAGCTTTTTTGTGATCGCCCAGAAACCCTAGGCGTGGTGCTGGTATTGATAGGATCAGAGCACCGTGGAGCTGGGAAGGGCCTTTGGGGCGGGGGGTCCTCGGGTCCAACGCCTCGCAACAGCTAAAGCTTCCCCGAGGGGCAGCCCCCCCCATGTCTCCATGGGGAACCTCTGAGGAGCGTCAGCCATCTCACTCCCCTGGCAAACGGCTCATACCAGGAGGAAGTTGTTCCAAAAGCGGAGGCAGAAATCTCCTCTCTGGTCACTGGACGTGGGGGCTGCAATCCTGTTGTGGAGCTCTGCACGCACAGGGCTGGCGCGCTCCTTGTCCCTGGCAAACTGCCGCCCATGAAAGGCTTCTTTTAGGGGTTCGAGGGTACACAAGGATTCCCCGCATTGTGTACGAGTGGTGGGCAATCCAAAATCCTCTTTAATTAGCAGCCACTTGCTCCCGACAGCATCCTCCCCCTGGCTCTTGAGGAGCTGAGCCATAGGATCTCAGGCGGTTGTGACCTCCTCTGTTCGGGAAAGGGGGGCTGAGTCCAGAGGTGTGGGGGGGGGCTTTTCGAGACCTGGCCACGGGTCTGGGGTCTTGAGTGCTTACCTTCCTTCTCCCCCTCTCTCTCCTCAGCCGATGTGCACCCCAGCCAACACGCCAGCCACGCCGCCCAACTTCCCAGACACCCTCACCATGTTCTCCTGCCTCAAGGCCTCGGAAAGTTTAAACAGCAGCCCGGTGGCTTCCGTGGCCAGGTCTCCCCCTCCCCCGCCTCCGCCCCTCCCTCAGCCTGGAGGCTTCGGATCAGCCTGGCCGGCCGGCTCCCCTCCAAGGCCCCCACGGAGCCCTTGGACTCCCCCGGCCGCCCCCTCGCAGCCCTCGGGATGGCCTGCCAGCGTCTCCCAGCGTGCCAGCCACGAGCCAAAAGCCAGCGCCACCCTGGAGGCCGAGAGATGAGGCCAACGTGGGCCGGCGGCCACGTGTTCCTGTGGGGGTGGCAGCCACCTGCTGCCCCAGAGACTCAAAACGGCAGCTCACTGCAAGCCATGGCCTGCCTGGGGTGGG